TGGGTGGGTGAGTGGGGATGTGGACAGGTGAGTGGGGACACAGGTGGATTGGTGAGTGGGAATGTGGATGGTGAGTGGGGACACAGGTGGATGGATGAGTGGGGATGTGGATAGGTGGGTGGGGATGTGGACAGGTGAGTGGGGACATGGCTGGGTGGGGGGGGGATGTGGACAGGTGAGTGGGGGCACACGTGGATGGGTGAGTGGGGATGTGGACAGTTGGGGGAGACATGGACAAGTGGGGAGACATGTTGGGTGAGGAAGACCCGTGAGTGGGGCTCAGGTGGGTGGAGACATGGAGTGGATGGGTGTATGGAAGCACAGGTGGGTGGGTGCCGAGATGGGTAGATGGATGGAGATGTGGGTGTTCAGGATGGCGATGGATGGTTGGATGGATTCATGAGTGAAATGATGCATGATCATATATATTATAAGTAAAATCACATATATATAAATCTTTTCAATTGTAAAATGTATATTTCATAAGTTAGAACTCTTAATCTTTGAGAATGAGAGGAGTTTTCTTTCCACAGTGTTACTATGTTTTCCCCAAAGACTAACTGCAAGAACAATGATAAAAGATCTTCAAAATGCAAGAGCAATTACAAATGGTATGAAATCTAACTCATGCACTTGAGGTACATTTGAAATAACTTGGACCTTTTGAATGCCTTGGTTTTTTCCCAACAGGTATAGGACCTTGCACGTGTATGCGTATATATGTACATGAATATGTATATATATTGTTTAGATAAATCATTGTAGCCACATTTAATTCTTTTATGTTCATTTTTCAAATGCTCTATTCTGACTGCCTTAATCTTTAAATATTTAATTTTTGTTAAGACTTAGATTTAGGAAATATTGTAGGCAACGGTCACTCTTGCCCAGAGTTTTCAGTGATAGCTGGATGGCAATGCTGGGGCAGTTACAGGGCCAGGGCAGATTCCGAAAAGCTGGAGGGTAGCATGTGAGTGGAGCACTGTGCCTGTGTCTGCCTAGGCTGGGCCTGTGTTGGCCTTGGGATCTACATGTCTGTGGGTGCATCCCACAGATGCCTGGGGACCCCTGGACCTGCCTGGACTGTGACCTTTTTTTCAGGGTAAATGTTGGCCATTTGCAGGTGATTTGAGGTGTCAGAGAAGTGGGGCGGGGGGGCAAGAGAGGACTTGGGGATTGCTAGTTTACAAACTTAAGCTTGTGTCATCTGAGGAGAGGTCAGGGGCTATTGTGCATAAAATAGCACCTTACTAGGCATCATTCCACATTTGAACTGTAGTGAGGTTTCCTAAAACACTTACCAGAACATTAACTTTAGCCATGTTTGTTGATTTTCTTGTAATTTTTTTTTGCAATTCCTGCCTCTTTCTGCCGCTCCCTGCACAGCAGGTTGTAGGGATTCAGTCTGTGCCCTCAGCAAAGTGCATCCAAGCCTTACACAGCTGCTTCGTGCGCAGGTGTGGAGCTCACAGCACAGAGCCCCCAGAGCCTGTATTTTTCTGCCACATTTTCTTCCCGGAGCCCAGCAATGCACACAGCTGGCACCTTTCATAGGTGTCTAGCTCTGGTGGCCGTTCTGCAGGAGACCACCAGGTGGCAGTGACGGCGCAGCCTCCAAGGTGACGTTGGGTCCAGGAAGCATTGCTCAGAGAAAGATTCATCTATCTGGACCCCTAGAACCTGGTGTGCATAGGATAGAGTGGCTTTGCTGTGAGGTAGCCCTGCTCGGCCAGGCTTAGTAGGGTCCCCAAACATAATGGCTACATGCCCAGGCAGGGTCTGTCAGTGAGGCCCACTGCTTAGTGCCATGCTGATGTCAGGTAGCTCCTGTCCTGCCTGTCTGCTGCTTGCTTGGTGCCTCTGCCTTACTTCTGACCAGGCAGCAGCCTTGCCTTGCACCCACCAAGTGGGGACTGTGGGGAGGACAGCTAGCCTCCTGGGCTCCCCCTGGTCCTCAGGCCTATAGCCCCTGCGGCTTAGCAGTGGGGCTTTCGTCTAAAGCGGAGGTGCTCTTGGTCCCCGGGCATCCCCATCACTGCCATGAAACTGTGTTGGGACTGCCTGCCTAAACTGTGATGTTTGGGGGGTAAATGTTGGCCATTTGCAGGTGATTTGAGGCGTTAGAGAAATGCCGGCCCCCTGAAAAGTGTGACAAGAGGTAGAGTCTGTCTCCTCCCCTGGGAGCCCTCAGCCCAAACCATCATCATGCTCACACCCATTTATATTAAACACGGCAAGTCATTGCAATTTTACGTGTAAAATATGTGCCTTTTTATCAATATGGAATGTAAATCTATTTTGAAGTTATTTCATAATTTTGAATGTAAGAGTTTATGTTTATATTCAAATTTAACAATAAAATTACACATGTAAAAAGAGAAACCTAATTGATTTCTAGTTTTTTATTTCTAGTCTCACTTTGATTTTTGTTACTTCTGACATTGCTCAGCCAGGAGCTCACTCTGGAGGATTCTCTGCCAACCAGGCTCTGCAGGCAAGTCGCTGCTGCCCTCCACCCGGCTGCCGTGTGCTGTGTTCAGTACTCAGGTATGAGCCTCAGTCAGCTTCATGGAATCCTTGGGAGCCTCTTTTTCCTGCCAGCTGTTGTGCTGTAAACATGTTTTGAAGCTTGCAGTTACTTAAGGCTGTATGGGGTTATCTGGGTATAGACTAGAGTTGAAATTAAGTTGTTACAGTGCATCTCACTTCTGCTGGGACCGATGCCTGGGTCACTCAGCCTCTGAACTTGGACTTGTAAGTCCATCTGGGGTTGCTGTGTTGTGATTACTCCTGCCTAAATTATAACATGGACCAGGCAGCAAGGCTGTGGTAGACAGAGAAGCCAGGACCCTAGAGTGTGCTCCTTGGGCCCCCATAGGCTGGATGTGCTGCTGCCCCGCGGTCCTGCCCTGTGGCTCTGCCTTGCTTTCTGCCCTGCTGTCTGCCCTGTGGACCTGCCCTGTGGCCACAGCTGGGACCTGCCTGCAGGGTGGAGTTTTCTTTTATGCCGAGGCTGGTGCTCTGTTCCCAAAGGTAGTTGACTGCCTATAGCAGACCCCTTTTTGGAAGTTCGGTGTTCCCATCTCAGTGATGCTGGAAAGAGTCAAGGGGCAGCTTATAACCTGCCCTCTGCCTCACCCAGGTCACTACGCTGTTTGACTCTCTTCTCCCAGTGGGAATTACGGACAGGTCGCACATGCCCTGGCCTCACTGGGGTGGATAGAAGCCCTCACTGGTCTGCAGTGCTGCGTCCTGCCCTTCACTTCCCAGTTGACTGCTAAAGGTTCCTTAGCTACCTCTGCTAAGTTCCCGTTGTTGTTGTTTATATAATTCTAGCCAAAGAGCTGTAAAAAGAACTTTTAGAAATTAGACACACAGTATCAGAAATGCCCTTTTGATGTCTTAATACATTCGCATTAATGGAAGAGGACAGATGTTTGCTGTTAGAGAGCCTCGATTTTCATGAACTTAGGGAGATGTGTTTTAGCTGCTTAGCCCAGTATTCCTCTCAACCAGTTCATGGACATGGGACAGGACACAGCGGGGTGTGTGTGTGTGTGTCCTGGTATTGTGACCTGTGGTGTGAGACTGGACACAGCAGGGTGTGGGGGTGTCCTGGGATTGTGACCTGTGGTGTGAGACAGGACACAGCAGGGTGTGGGGGTATCTTGGGATGGTGTGACCTGGGGTGTGAGACGGGACATGGCCGTGTGACTGCTGTCCAGGTGTGGGTGCTGTGCTGTCCAGCTCTGCCTGCTCACAAGGCTCTTGGGCACCTCAGGTATAATCTGGCTTCTCTCCTATCACCATGGGTGGCTGTGAGAACACAGCCGGCTGCTTGAAAGGACACGAATCTCTGTCAGCTTCGTTCCCTGCCCAGGGCCTGGCCATTCCGTGCCTGGTGGTCAGGGCTCTGTGGGCTCTGGGGCCCAGCTTTAGATCTCTCACTACCTGAGGAAATCTCCATCAGTGCTTCAACCAATTTTAAGTGAAAATTCTGTTTTCACTCAATCGGTCTTCACCAGTGTGATTCCTATGTGTTGGGATTTCGTAAGAAGTGTTTCTAATTTTTTAAGCAGGAGATGGTCGGTGGCTGGCCTGTGGCCTTGCCAATCATCTGTCCCTTGTCTTTGATGCCAGCCTCACTGGAGCCCCTGCTGTCTTTTCAGGTAAAACATGTCTTAATTTTCATTAATATGAATTTACAGACAGGTCTCACTTTGGTCCTGGCTGTCAGTTGTCACTTCAGTGTCCTCAAGACAACAGCAGAAGAGAAGCCGGGTGGACACACCTATGAGCAACCTGCACCCTCCAGGGCTGGACTGGGGCCAGGAGCCAAGACTCTGGGGCTTGGAGGAAGTGAGAAGAATTGAACCTCATATGCTTAAAATGTATTTCATTAGTTTAACTGAAAGATACACACTTGATATGTGTTTTGAAATACAGTAGTGCACAGATACTTCTGTCAGTGAGCAGGGTAAACACTCACAGCTGGTGAGCACAACAGTGCTGACATGGCTGCAGCTTCAGTCCTGACTCGGACCTGTCTAGATTCCTGGTTCTAAAGCCATAAAATCTCACCACTCTCCATGAGGTTTTCAAAACTGCTTGTTTCAAATCACACAGTTGGTAGATATTTAACAAAACCACACACACAGAGACAAGAAATGTTCATCTATTCTCATGCAGGTTGAGGCTCCCTAACCCAAAAATGCAAAATCCAAAATGCTCCCAAATCCAAAATTTTTTGAGTGCCAACATGCTGCTCTAGTGAGCATTCCTGATTTTAGATTTCTGAATTAGGGAAGCGTGGCTGGTGTAATACCCATATTGCAGAACCTGAAAAAGTGTAAAATCTGAAATATTTGTGGTCCCAAGCAGGTCCCTGGGTGTGAAGGCCCCCGCTCCCTCCCTCGGCCTCTGAGCTCCAGTCACAGCTACCTCAGTCTGCACAGGAGGGCAGCAAAGCTCTTCTGCTCCTTTGCCTGCTCAGTGCGGTTTAACCCTCTTTTCTTGGGCTCGTGTTACAGAGCAGAGTTCTATGCTAGTTTGTGAATCTTTCCTGGCGTTTCCACTTTTGCTTTGTTGGGTGTCCTGACACATATGGCATAGCGATGCTGTGACTCATTGTCTCATCTTTAAATTACCACGCGGTTCACACTCCCAGGCCAGTACGAAGGCTGCTCCATTTAAAGGGGCCCCAGCTGGGGCAGTAGTATCCTCCAAGCTGTAGTTACTCATTCTGCTGCAAGTTTAATCTGCAAGTTTAATCACAAAGGCCTTAGCTGCAGGAGCTGAAATGTGGTCATTTGGGAGTTCTGGGGCCATTTGTTGTCCAAGGTGTGTGAGTGAAGCTGGGTCCAGCTGCCAGCCTCAGGAGAGCGCTCCTGTCCCCTTGGTCCCCCTTGCTGCACACCTGGCCTTCTGTCCAGAGCAGAGCCCAAGGTGCTCTTCTCAGAATAATGTATTGTTGGCTGCTTTGAGATGCCTGCCCCAGCTCAGAGGCCTTTCTGAGGTCATAAGAGCAAGACAGCTCCTCAAAGTAGCTAATGTCCAGGACTGGGGGCCGGGAGACGCAGTGAGTGCTCACCCAGTGACAGCAGGGACCTGTCAGGTGCCAGAGTTAGGCTGGTGTAGGAATGAGGCCGGGACAGAACAGAAATGCATGCACACCGTCATGGGCACTTGCCAGGAGCTGTGGGTGTCCCCACCACAGTTCACTATCAGAGCTGTGCACCCCAGCCTCCAGACACCTGCAGACCACAGCCCACTCGGAAGCCTCCACACAACCTGAAGCTTGAATGAGACTTTACCAATCTGTCTCACAAATGCTGAGCCTCTGTCTGTGTGTGTTCAGTACAGGTTTTGACTTTTCCTTTAATGTTTAGAGAATAGTAGTTCTTTACATTACTGATAAATTATCATGAAATCTACAGAATTCTGTACTCTGCTTTAAAATATTATATTTTATAATTTTTCCCCTTAAAACATACATTCACAGATGTACACGAAGTGTTGAACCTCATATTTTAAGAAATACACACGTGGATTTTAGGGAAATGTTCTTGGGAAACCATGTTAAGCCTCTAAATGGAGGATAATCCACCTTCAGGGAGTTTGTTGGGTCTATAGCTGGAAATGCCTCTGGGCACCTTATTTACTGCTTGGAAACTTGCAGTTCTGGGTGTGTTGTGTGACAGTGCTGGACAAACAACAGTCACAAATGAAGTGCCCTTGGGTCACGCTGTTCTAACTGTGTCCCTGCAGGTCATGATGGAGCCGTGCGCACTGTCTGCTGGAGCCACAACCAGAAGTGGCTGCTCTCTGTTGCCCAGGACAGGACGTTGCGGGTGTGGTCTGTTCGCCAGACAGAGCTCATACTCTTGCTGGTAAGGGGCAGTCACACTCCTAATAGGCAAAGGCTCAGAACGAGAGCTCTGGTCTCCCTGACACTCGTCTACACACACTCACACGTAGTTACATAGTCCTAAGAGCTCTGGTGTCCCTGACACTCGCCTGCACACACCCACACGTAGTTACATAGTCCTAAGAGCTCTGGTCTCCCTGACACTCGTCTGCACACACCCACACGTAGTTACACAGTCCTAAGAGCTCTGGGGTCCCTGACACTCGTCTGCACACACCCACACGTAGTTACACAGTCCTAAGAGTTCTGGTGTCCCTGACACTCGTCTGCACACACCCACACGTAGTTACACAGTCCTAAGA